TTTAAAAAAGTTACAGTGTTATAACTTTTTCATTTTTACTCAAATTTTTACACACGAAAAAGTAAACCAAAATTATACGGTAGTATTTTTTTATGATCTTTCATATGACACCAATAAGGCAATAATGCATATATATATATATATATAATATAGAACAAATCTTAAGGTTTATTAAATAACCTTCATATTTCCCAATAATACACGAAATCAATAGTAAGAAATATAAAGTTATGATAGTTTAAAATCTAATATTTTAAAGTCACAGTGTAAACATACCTGAAAGGCTGAAACATATGTTCTGCCAAGAAATGAACAGATTCAACTTGATGGTGATATTCATTCGTTCACATGTACGAATAAACTTTTTATCATCTATATTGTTAAGATTAAAATGATTTCATATGCATATCAAGTTTTTCTTTACAAATAGGATTAGCTCCTGATACTGACTCAAGTTCTAACGAAGAGTCACCCCATATTACTGACATCAATATTGCATATATAATTTTTTTAAAATATGAAGGTTTATCAAACAATTCAACCATCCTATTTTCCATATTAAATAAATAAATAATTTCGTAATATATGAGAAAAAGTAAGGATAATGGATAACAATATAACTTATTAATTTTTAGTGATTATGGTTATGTTTAAAATTATACCAAAGTAACTATAAAAGTGTACACATAGTCAATTTAGTTACATTTTGTCCACAATATTTTTTTGAGTTTTTCATATAGTCACTACGGTATAAATTAAAGCGTAGTCTATCTATTTATATATAAGAAAGCAATAGGCTCATTAAAATACAATTTTACCCTCGACAAATTTTATGTGTCATTCTCTCCACAATTCTCTCCCTCATTATATAGATGCCATGTGGCAAATTCTAGGATTTTGTACTTGGGAAGTGGACCTCACTCACCGGGCTCAGTATGAGTCTGTGTATTGGGCCTATGAAATAAAAATAATAGGTCGGGGTCCAATATCCCAACATGTGTTTTGCGATGATGTTGCTTGCAGATGAAAAAAAAAACATATGAAGCTTTGAAAGTAGTTAAGAATTTGATTTGTAACAATTTTTGGATTTGGTGTTTGCGATTCAATATAACTATTAGTCTAGTTTCTAGATATATAAATATTTATTAACTACAACTAACATGAAAATTGGAGACTAAAGAAGTAATTATTATTATTTCTTGGAGTTGTGTATGACTAAAGAATAATAAAAGTTTGAAATAAGAAGTTTTTTATTGTGAAGATTTTGCGATGTTCATATTATATGCGTGCATATGAATATTTGTATTATATTTTCATAATATCTTTAACTCACTCGAGAGGCTTAGTGTATTAATGCAAGAGATTGACAAATATGCATTTCATAACTCGTATTTACTACTCCATAAGTCCATATATAAAACAAAACAATTCTTCCGACTCTCCAGATCTGTGAAGAAAAGAACCAAGGCGAGATCAGTCCGGCCCAATATATTCATCTTGGGTTGTATTTATCTCCATTTCTCTGCACAATTTCATCATTTAAACGGTAAAACGGACATCGATAATTTGATATACATTGTTGTGACAATATATTATTTTGATTATCTTCTTCAAAACGATGCCAACGCTGTCAATTTGGTTTAACCGAACCGAACCGTATCGAACCGACCGAAATCGGACCGTATGTAATTTGGTTTGAGTTTGGTACTATTTCTTTCAAACCGTATTAAACTGAACCGAACCGAAACCGATAAAAACCGAACAAAACCGAACCGAACTAAAGAAATTCAAAAATAATGCATATATTATTAACATTGGTGGTTTGATTTAGTTTGGTTTGGGTTTATTTAAGTAAACCGTTTGGTAAACATTTGCTCAAACCATGTTTAAGATATAAATAAGTAATTTAGACATGAATCTACATATTTAAGCATATACTCGTATCATTTTCATTTTTACACATTTCATACATTCATTATGACAAAGTTAGCTAATACGACATATTTGTACGGAGTATTTATTATGTTTGGCGATAACAATAGCAAATTGCATTTATATTTTTACATGAGTCATTTGAAAAAAAAATTGCATTTATATTTTTACATGAGTCATTTGAAAAAAAAAATTGTGAATATTACAACATTTGTACAACCGGCTCTTTTAGGTTTTTTGAATATTTTATGTGATATTACAAATGCTAATCAACTATCTTATTTTTTGTAAGAAGTGAATTTTTTGTAGTGATAAAAAAATGTTAGAAGTTTTAATTTATAATATTTTATTATTTATTTTTCTATCTTTTATTTCCTTTTACATTTTATTTAAATAATCAATAGATTTAAAAAGATGATATGGACTACTACTTTCATTTTCTAATTCTAAAATATAGAACTTGATCAAAAAATAATTATAAACATAAGCAAACGAATCAAACCAAACTAAATTAAACATAATAATTTTTTTTTTGGTAAACCGAATTTCAAACCGAACCGAAACCAAACTGAAACACAAATGGTTTTAGTTTGGTACAAATTCTCCCAACCCGAATAAACCAAAACCGAACCGAAACCGAAGAAAAAAGAACCGTAAACCGAATTGCCCACCCCTAGAATTCACCCATACTCCCGATGCCTACGCTAGTGTTTCAAGCAAAACTAACCAACCACACAAAAACCAGTAAATATAATATTTATATTTTAACATACATGAGTTTATTCCTCTTACATGTGTGGCCATTGAAAGACAAATATTGAAATGCAAGTGCTCTTCTCAAGTCTTGGACAGACCAATTTGTTGTTTGAGCTTAATTGACTCAAATGTAAAGTATGCATCCCATGTCAAAGAAATATGGCCAGTTTATACCTTAGAGCCCACGTGCTCGAGCCAACTTGCTCATCAAATATTTCGGTAGGAAAAGAAAATTTTGATCAATCAAGAATGAGAGTTAGAGGCCCTATAGGCTCTGTTTGCAACAGTTTCTGCTTTAAAAAAAGTGTTTTTTTTTAATGAAATGGGGAAAAATAATTAAATAAAAGTTGATAGTGTTTGAAAAAAAAGTGATTTTGAAAAGTAAAAGTTGGTAGTGTTTGATAAAATAAGTGCTTTTAGTGTAATAGAAAAAGTAAAAGCACGTTTGACACGAAAACCGAGAAAAACAAAAGTGTTTTTTTAAAGCCAAAAGCTGAGAAGTGCTTTTTTTTAAAGCGTTTGCAAACCAACCCATAAGATGGTTGGTTTGAGCTATAAAAGAAAAAGCCAACTAACTTATACAAGAAATTAAAAAACAAGAAAAAATAAATTAAAAGGTCAGATACTGTTTTATAGTATTAATACTGTTAACACTGTCATCTTACGGAAAACAAATCACATAGAAACCCGCCTATAGTGCTACCACCACAAAAGTTCCCAAAAATAAAGACGGGGTGATTCAGTAACTTTCCGAAATTAAGATTAAAATTACTACATTAAAACAAGTCATTTTGAAGGTGTCACAAAGTTGCTAGTCACGTCAGCATCACTCTTGTTTTGCTAGGATTGAAAACATTATTGTGAATTCATTACTTCACGAGATTGTTAACAGCAGGATGTGCAGGGAGAATCTCATCAATAAGGCTGGGCGGAGGAGGAACTCCTGTCGGGTCTTCAATTTTTATTGGAAGGCCCCAGGAAGAAGTATCAAAGTCTGGAAAGCGTTTGCGTAGAGCATCATAGATCCGGCATTGAGCAGTTGACACTCCTTGTATGAAAGACCGCACCACTTCCTCGGCAACAATATCTTTGCATCGTTTTGTCTGTAAAAATGTATTTTCATGATCAACCAAGGCCTTTTGGTACTCCTCAGATTTCTTGTACTTCTCAAGATAATCAGTTAAGTCTTTCTTGTGCGCTTTGGACCCCTTATGCTTTTCAAGATGCTTATTAAATTCATTCTTGTAAGCATCGGAACTTTTATATCTCTCAAGATGATCAGCCAGTAACTTTTTGTGCAGACTGGACGTTTTGTACTCTTCAAGGTGGTCAGCTAAAGCTTTCTTGTGCTCTCGGGAGCCCTTGTACTTCTTGAGATGATTTGCTAGCTCTTTATTGTATTCTTCTGAGTTCTGATGCAACACCAGATGGTTGGTCAAATCTTTCTTGTAATCCTCAGACCTTTTGTATCGCTCAAGATGATCAGCTAGTACCTTTTTGTGATCTTTAGAATCTCTGTACTTCTCAAGATGGTCAGCCAACGCTTTCTTGTGCTCTTCAGAACCCTTAGCTTGTACATTTCCAGGTGACTGACCAAGTATTTAGTCAAATCTTTCCGGTAATCTTCAGACTTCTTGAATCCTTGAAGATGATCAGCCAAAACCCTTTTGTGCACATCGGAGGCTTTGTACTCCTCAAGGTGATCAGCTAAGGCTTTCTTGTACTCTTGAGAGACCTTGTACTTCTCCAGATGATTTGCTAGCTCTTTCTTATATTCTTCTGAATTCTTATGCAACAAAAGGTGCTTAGTCAAATCTTTCTTGTTATCCTCGGACCTTTTGTATCTCTCAAGATGATCAGCCAGTAACTTTTTGTGCTCATTAGAAGCTTTGTACTCCTGAACGTGGTTATCCAGGGTTTTTTTGTGCACATTAGAGCATTTGTAGTTTTCCGGGTGATTGGCTAATTCTTTCTTGTAATCTTCTGAATTCTTATGCAGCACAAGATGGTTTGTCAAATCTTTCCAGTATTCTTCAGACTTTTTGTATTTCTCAAGATAATCAGCCAATACTCTTTTGTGCTCATCAGAACACTTGTAGTTTTCCAGGTGATTGGCCAAGTCTATCTTGTATTCCTCTGAATCCTTATGCATCATAAGGTGCTTAGCCAATTCTATCCTGTAATCTTCAGAATTTTTGTATCTCTTGAGATGATCAACCAGTACCTTTTTGTGCTCATCAGAACGTTTGAATTCCTCCAAATGGACATCCAACTCTTTCTTAAACATTTTAGAAGCCCTGAACTCCTGGATGGCCTTATTGGTAAAGTCAGTCTTGATATCTGCAAACTCATCGGAGTCCAGAAAATCTTTTATAATCGACTTTCTGGTTCTGTGAAGATCTCTTTGAATGATCTTCATTTGCAAGACGCGGGAAGTCAGAACATCAAACCTGTTCCTAGAAGCACTCAGATCATCACTTGCAGAAGTGTTGGCATAATTTTTCAATTCAAGGACACACAAAACACACTGCAAGAGGCGATATAGAGGAGGGGACCAAGCCGATCAAAATTAAAAGAGTAATAATGACAAACAAATGAATAAGACAAAAATAGTGGACAACATTATCACTTTTACTGAGCAGTACATGACCATAATAGAGTATTTAAAAGTGATTGTATAGTAGCCATGGTGATGTTCTATTATAGTACTACGTATTATACAATGGAGTGACCATGATTGTATTTCAGCAGGAACTGTAGGTATCATGTAGTCATATTTTTGTTCATAAATTTTATTTTAGAACAGGAAAAACCAAGGGAAATAATGACTATATAAAGTACCTTGAAGGCATATATCATCACAGATTCGCACAGTTTCTCTGAAAATACACTCTCCAGTATTTCCATATCAAACGGAGGATAAGTGTCCTCTGAAACTTCTTCAGTTTTGATGGTACTCTTTGTTAATGAAATGTTATGTTCATTGCCCAAGTTCACTCGGGGCTTCTTTGATACACACAAGGCAATAGGAGAAGAAGGTGAGTTTCTTTTGTTCTGTCCATGGCATGGTGGACAGGCTGATGAAGGTGGAAGGCTCTTAGAATTATTTACCGAGGAAGAGGCATCAGGCAACAACACAGTTTTAGGGATCCCGGAAGCTATAGTAGAGTGAGGATCAGAGGCTTGCCCAGGCTTCCCTTTATCAGGACTGAGAATTTTCTTTGAACGGACAACAAGGTCTGCTGTGCTGAACATATTCACATGACCTGCAAAGAAGGATGAATTTATATGTGTGTGTACATAAGAATTACAAATTAGATAGATGGAATACTACCCAGTCATTAGAAAAATAACCTGCATGATATTTATATGTTCTTGGCAATTTATTCCTTCATAGAAATACAGGTCCTATTTGGTAGCATTTGAAAGCTTATTCTGCTTAACATTAAGCAGAATAACTGAATAAGTAGCTTTTGACTTGTGTTTTGAAACTCTATTACACTCTTTTATTTAAAAAATCGAGTAGACTCAACCATATAATCAAATATCATGAGCCATAAATCCTTGCCAAATATAATCAAAGTAATTATTCTTATTTCAATTCTGGCAAAAATTATCCCAAAAAAGATATCTATCGAATTACTCCACTAACTTCACAGGTCATTTTTCGATTCTGATTATACCTGTAACTTTTTCTACCGGAAATGTTTCAGCATTTCCACCAGAGTGCTTTCTTCTTTCTTCAGTTTCTCCTTTATAATTAGTAAGTAATTAGTCATAATGTAAGGGACCGCTAAAATAAATAAATAAATAAAATGAGGGAAAATTGCTGCATTTATTTTATTTTATCTTTTATATGTATATTCATCTATTTTATATTATCTTTTTTATAATAGCTTATCTTTTTTATCTTTGTTTCCTTTCTTTTCTTTTGGATGATATCATGTATGGATTCATGTTAGCCGACCCCAATATCGTTTGGGACTAAGGCTTGGATGTTGTTGTTGTTGTATTGGTTCATCAATGCGCTCTTTACTCACCTCCATCATCGCTCTTTTGAGAAAGAGTTTTGGGGGTTTTAGGTTCCTGTTCAGCATCTCTACTATCGAGCAGCTTTCTATAATAATCGCGCACCTTACTATAAAAGGCCTGCATGTTCTTGCTGTACTCGGCCTCAAGTTTAACAGCCTTGAGTAAGTAAGGAGCTTTATCGGCGGCGGACATATTCCTCCACTCTTCACCCCCGGCTCGAGAGACAACTATTGCAGATGATTTACTGAACGGATTTCGCTCATTAAAAGTCTTCCGGAAATCCTCCATGAAAACGAAGAAAGCGCTTAGAGGCCTTTTCGGTTGGTTTGGACACTTTCCGACATTCATGGCAAAACCGGCGAAAGTCGGAATAACACGCTAGAGTAAACGGACTAACTGGGCAAGGAACTGTACTCTGGTTTTGGGGGAAGACGAATAGATTCTAAAAAAAATGCTCCGTATACGGTACTTCTTACACATATAAATATATACGGAGTAATAAAATCAATACTCCGTACTTGCGAATAAAAGTAAAAAAAAAATTAAAATTTCCGCTGCCGGGAGTCGAACCCGGATACTAACTCAGCGATTCAGCTTATAGTTAGATTCTAGTCCTGCAATCATCATGTTATAATTGCTACAGCGGAACTATTGACACAACTGTGTATAATGTGTGTTAGCTTAGTAATTATACTCCGTACTAACTACTAAGTAATTATTAAAAAAAAGTAAATTTTGTTTAGTAATAATTTTTTTACTAAGTAATTATTAGGTAAATTCCAAAAAAAGTTCACGACATATACTCCGTATACGAGAGAAAGCGGTCCAGCCCAGCTGGTCGTCGACTCACTCTTCCTTATGGGAGGTCTCGGGTTCAATTTTCAATAGAGTGAAATTGATCCCCTCCCCTGATGCCTCTGGGGTAAAATAAAAAATAAAATACTCTGTATACGATAGTACTACGCAGTGGAGGAGCTAGGGAGGGGCATGAGGGGGCAAGTGCCTCCGCTTCGGGCAAATTTCTTTAGTATACGATAATACTACTTATAATATATTTAATGCCCCTCCTTTTGTCAAAAATAAATACTGTTTAAGGATAATTTTAGGTTAAATGTTAAAATAAAAGGAAAAGTCTTTTAGGAAACGTATGTGTCTCTAAGAATACAAGTATTGGCGGTAGCATATCACACTCATTTGAATGCAAGTGCGGATTGTTTTAGACATTAAATGACGCATGTGTTAGCTTTTCATGGTTATAGTGAGCAAGAAAGTGTTGAGTTTGACGAATATGTTGTCACTTTTCTTGTAACAAAAATATCATCAAAACATTCTCGATATTATGTTAGATTCCCTCCTTGGTGGAGAAATTCATGAGAATTTTAGAATTTTTAGAGCATCCAAGATTCTATTTATGTGTGTAGAGATGTGTTGAGTGTTCTAGAATAATAATGTAGAGTTTTTTTTAGAGAAATATGGAACTCACAAAATCATGTGGAAGCCTCTAGAACATTTTGAAGAATTGTGAGGTTTTCTAAATCCTTCCAAAAGATAAGAGAAGCTTGTGGATACTTTTTGGAAGAATCTTGATGTCTAGTGGTGTATAAAAAATTCTAGAGAAACTTTGATGAGTTTTATAGAGAAGCTTCTCATTTATATGAGAACTTTGAGGAGATATATTGAGCGAGTGAAAGTGAGAGTCTCCTTGAAAGAGAATAGTGAAAGCCTTCTTGTGATAAAAGAAGGCTCAAAGATATCGTTTGACGTAGTGTATGTAGGGATGGACTGGGCCGGGCCGAACCGGCCCGGAACCGGACCGGCCCGCTACTGTGCGGGCCCGAACCGGACCGGGCCCGGTTGGCCGGTTCCGGGCTTTTAGCCCGTTTTGGCGGGTCGGGCGGGCCGGTTCCGGGCCCTGTTTTTGTTGAACCGGCCCGGGCGGTTCGGGCCGGGCCCGGTTCATTTTTTTTTTTTTTTTTTGGTTTTTTCAATTTTTTTTCTTTTCCTAGGGTAGGGCTGGGTGTTTTAGGGAGGTTTGGGGCGTGGGGGTGAGGGGGGGGGGGGTAGGGAGATAACAAGAAAGTCAAAAAAAAAAAAAAAAAAAAAAAACATTGAACCGGGCCCGGCCCGGCCCGGCCCGGTTAGGCCCGGACCCGGTATCAACCCGGGCCGGTTCCGGGCCCATGTAACCCGAAAAAAAGCCCGCCCGGGCCCGGCCCGGAACCGGAACCGGCCCGGCCCGGGTCCATCCCTAAGTGTATGTGATCAACTTAGGTGGAATGAAGTAGTCTCATATACAAAAAGTGAATGAGAATAATACAAAGTGATATTGTCAGATCGAGAATTTGTATTGTGAGTGTGTGGATATATAAGTGTACAAGAGTCTATGAGCTCGTGATCTTGAAAAAGGCTAGGGTTGTGTTTTACCAACATAAAGTTATTATACAACATTTTGAACAAATTAAAACTCGCATAATTGATCTACCGAGATTATAGATATAAGTCAAGCAGTATGTAATGAAATAATATGTGCTAATGTATTAAGCTTTTATTGTTTTTATTAAATTTTGAGCAAATACACAAAATTCTTAGTCTTAAGTATGCCCCTCCTGCGAAAAATCTCTGACTCCGCCACTAGTACAATGTACGAGTATATGTTAAGAAAGGCCATGTTAAATACCAAATCATAGTTTACCGGTATTCCAGTATTGGACGCGCATGAAGCATGATAAGTGAAAAAAGGAATAGAACATACTTCGTACACATACCATGGTACTAGTGTAAAACTAGAGGCAATGCCCAATAGTGCGTCAATGTGATATATCTATTGAAATGAAAAAAATACTAATAGAGATTGTGAATTATTCATAGGATTCAAAATTGAATATAATGCATTTTTACTACTCTCTCCGTATTTTTTTTTGCTACACTTTCCATTTTTGGATGTATTCAAAAATTTGCTACATTTTCCCTTTTTGGTAAGTTTTTTCCTTAAAAATTTTCAACCACTCTTACTTTTTCTATTTTTTATCTTTCTTTCATACTTTTCCACCATCTCTCCTACTTTTTCTACACTATTCATTATTTCATTACATGATCTACACACACACACATATAATTATATAGTTTAATACAAGTACTCGTTTTATTTTAACTATACACTCATTAGGTATAAGTTAAAATACCCGGCAGTGTCGTGCACATGGTACAACCAATTGTACCATATAATTTACCAAAATTACAGGGTGTCCTCATTTAGGATTGCAAATACTTTTATAGATTATATTTATATTTGAAAGGAACAGAACAAAGACAGCATCTAAAGTAAACTAACACACTTTTGCCAAAATTGCAAATACTTTTATAGGTTAAAATTATATTTGAAAGGAACAGAACAAAGACAGCATCTAAAGTAAACTAACACACTTTTGCCAAAAAAAAAAAAGCAAACTAACACACCGGGTGGTTCTTTCATTCTTGTGTTGAATACAACAAATTACACTCTTTCATATTCATACGAAAACATTATATACGAAAGTCGTTTTGCATCCATATATAGAAATGTTTTCTTTGTTACCCTTAGAGGCTTAGACACACCACTCTGGTTTAAAAACAGAAAGAAAATCTATAGAAAAAAGGGGTCCAGAGACTCCAATTTTCTTGGAAGGAATCCAGGGAGCTTCATACTCATATGTGCTGGTGGTATACTTCAATTATATTTTACAAGAAGCTTCAGCTGAAACACGGGCCAATGCAATGGCAGCCTTGGAGCCAGACTGACGTCCCAAATGCTTGCTGATAAACTCGCCGGCCACCAATAGCTTTCCGAGGTCGACGTTAGTTTTCACACCTAAGCCATCCAGCATGTACACCACGTCCTCCGTTGCCACATTCCCTGTAGCTCCTTTTGCATAAGGACACCCTCCTAATCCGGCTACCGACGAGTCCACCGTGCATATCCCCATCTGTGCATTTATAATAGACACGTGACATGAGTTTAAGTCATGCACAACTCTTTGAAAGCACAGGGTGCTGGACTCTTAGCATAGGAACTGAAAGGTGGTGTTTTGCCTGTTATCCTATTCTATCCCGAGTCTGTTTGGTAGATTTTTTTCCATATAAGCCAGTGTTCCTCAACAAAAAAAATACTAGCTTATTTCATTGTGCTTGATAATGTGACTAAATTGTGATTCAGAAGTAACTTGTTTACCTGAAATGTATTAAGTTGATACTTTTTTCTTTGCTTTTTGAAATAGTTTTCATTCACTTATTTCAATATATGTTTCAAAAAACACATGTTTTAAAATAACTGTTTCAGTTAATTAAGCCAACTAGCTAATTTCATTCGCAACTTTAGCGATTTCAGCTGAATTGTCCACTTTAGCCATTCTAAGTCTCACCGAACGGGCTCATGTGTTTCGTGGTTGTTTATATCATACCCATTGTCTCGTTGACAGTTTATAAGTACAAAATTAAAGTTTACCACATTAAGTTACAGTGCACATGTAATGACACTGAACTTACTTGGAGAGAAACTAAGATATTTGGAAGTGATTGCCCATAAGTGTCGTGGAAATGGACAGCAAGCTTTTCAACTGGAACAACAGCCATCACAGCTTCCAGCATGGGGATGACAGTTCCTGAAACGAAGGAAAATATAGTCACTCAGAGAGATAGTATCACGCGTCACATGCTAGACTGCTAGTCATGGGATGAAATACTTAGGGCCGTTTCGAAACCAGAAAACAAGATTAAAGTGAAGGAAAACAAAGAGCAAATAAGAATGAAAGAAAGAAAATCACCAGTCATTATCAGCACCTTAATCCCATAGTTAGGTCGTTAGCACTAAATTAAGAAATAATGACAGTGACTATAGTGACCATGATGGCATTCCATTTATTGTGCAGTGACAATGACTATATTTTCGTAGTAACTGCTGTGTGCTGTAACCATGTAAACATGTAGTCATATTTCTTCCTACAAGTTTTGTGAAAAAACGCCTCATATTATGGCTTCAATTCATTAGATACAGTTAATTAGCACTAGAAATTTATGCAAAAAGGTATAGTGGCAATGTTTTCTGCCGAATGCCCTTCTTTGCAACAAGGAATCATCATCATCATCATCAGCATCATCATTACCCTAGTGCCGCAAAAGGCTCCCACCTACGGTAGGGTAGGGGGGATCGGATGTATGCAGTCTTACCCCTGTACTAAAGCACGGAGAGACTGTATTTGCAAGAAGGAATAATGATCAAAATTTGATACCGTCATCACTGATGACGCACAATAGGCCGACTCCACATGCACACAAAATATCATGAAACAACAATGCATTGAGGCTAGTAGTATCATGTTCATTTCATGATTGGTATATTTAGATTCAAACATAACATAAAACTTTCCATAGCACTTTTTCTTTCCCCAGGCATTTCCCGTGATCCA